GTGTCGAAAACAAATCTCATGACCAGAAAACCCAACTCACGATAATCAATGCCTCAAAGAGGAAGCCCAGTCCGCATATATTCAGAAACGCAGCAAAGGAAAATTTGGCAAACGGAGCACACCACTGAAGGCCAAGAACACCATGCAACTCACTGGGGTTGCACTGCTCTCTATAAAGGAGAAGGTTCAAAAGCAGAATACCTGTAACTGCAGCAAAGGTGCAGTACTAAACCCTCAGCAAATTAAAGCAACAATAGTAGCAGAAGCAGCAAACAAACCTATTGAATAAGCCCAAGAATGACAATGCAACTCACTGGGTTGCATGTCTCTCTTCAAGTCAATACCAGAGAGAGGAACCGGAGTGAAAAAGACCGCTGGACATGCGCCAGCAGCGTGAACCAGAGCAGGAAGAAAGAGGTGGCGAGTGGTGGCCATTCACTTGGAATCCGGCGACCGGATTCTAGGGAGTCGCTAATCGGCGGCTGGAGAATATCCTAGGGTGGGCGGTCAGGCAAAATACTAACCCTAGAAAGGCTTCCTAGGGTGGCAGTGGCTTCTCGTAAGGGAAGTTTCGGGAAATTTCCTTTTTTTTTTTTTTTTTTTTTGTGGAATTTGGAAGAGGCTCTGATTACCATTATGATAGGAAAAATATTGTAGTTGTATTTCTTGTGTTCTCATCAATTCGCATTATATAGGTCTATATATATAGGGAATTCCTTGCTAACCTAGCTATTTTAGGAACTACAAAATTCAATAAACTAATTTAGGGGGAATCTAACTCCTAATAGAAACTCTATTTACAACCTAATCTTTACACAATTCCTATGCTACCTAGCTATTTAGGAATACAAATCATAAACTAATTAGGAATCTAACTCCTAATAGAACTCTATTTACAACTAATCCTTAACACTATAAAGTAAAAATTTCCCCTACAAGTTTAAGCTTTGGAGGTTAAATGGTACTTTAATATGATATTGTGTCCCATTAATCAGGTCCAAGTCATTTCATGTTTGAATCCTTAGATTACTTAATTCATGTAATTCAATTTTCAGGTTTAGTCCATGATTATCCTAGTTGGCTTTTGCTAGCGAGTATTTTGAAGAATAAACTTGCAAGCTTATGATTTTAGGTTAGCTGGTTCTAGAATAACCAGGCTAGGCTCATTGTTGTGGGATGCAGCTGAAAGTTCTCTTTTTAACATAATTTATCAATATCGTAATAAAGGTGAGTTGAATTGGTTATTTTAGAATGACATGGAAAAACATTTTTTGCCATTTGCTTGCTGCTGACTTCTGATAATCTCCCCATATTGTGTGAATAGTAATATAGGTTTGACAACTTGAATCCTTTAACCAGGTTAATTCTGGAAAATTCCAGTCAATTATAGTGCTCACCTGCCTTCTTTTAAATCTGATGCATTGTGTGATGAAAGCATCACTTTTGAAACCAATAGATTGCTTTTTTTGGGTTTTCTCTAACATCTAAGTTCAATACTTTCAACTTTCAAGTAATCATTTGGAGGGACTCTCTACTTATACCCATCGATGCTGATACTTCTTGTATAAATATTTATGTGTGTTATTTCTTCTGAACTTGCTGTAGAGCTGGGCTAGTTTTGAGCCATCAAAAACGACTGTAAAGAGGGTACTTTTGCAAGAAAGCGAAAAGACAAGTCTGAATAAATTATCCTTCATGGATAGGCAACATCTTGGCCCCTCCGTGCTGGATAGTAGCTCGGCGGTCAGTCACCCAACAAACCTGACATCTCCTTCAACTTTCATGTACCCATCTGGAAACAAAGGTGAGTTGGGAATCACCATTAATAAAGATATCTTTGTGTACATTCGTACAATAGCTTTATAACTTATTCATTTTGTTATTTTCAACAGGTACTCAGTATGTGTTTCCAAAACAGGCCTTCGATAGTGGAACAGCTCCATCGAAATTGCTTAATAACTCTTTGAGGCCTCCCATGTTGCAAAGTGATAATGCTTTGTTGCCATCAATTTCAGCATCCCAAGCACGGCCCATGACAGGGCAAAACCTTGCAAAGGAATCTAGCAATATCACTGCACATAAATCAACTGGTAGGGTTTCTTCTGTTGGGAATTCTGATTCTAGGTTGATTAATGAGAACCATTCCATTCAGCAATCTGAAACTAGCCTACTTAAAAAATCTTCAGTCTCAATGGAATTAGCTGCAGAGACACCTGCGTTGACGAAGAAACCAAGTGAAATCCTTAGTTACAATATGAAGGGGACTGTGGATACAAGTTCAATGACTGAAACTTTGAATCATGTACCGACAAGTACAAAAGGATTTGACACTTCATTTTCTCTTCTAAACACTGCAGATGTTCCCTCCCATCCTGGCAAAGTTGTGCAGTTCAACGCTGCAGCCAGCAAAACCCAGCCTAGTGAAAAAACACCACTTTCTCAAGCATTCTCAACATCTCTTTCAGTTTCTTCAATGTCACTTTCATTTTCATCTCCAGTGATGACCCCATCGGCAAGCATTGCACCCGCTGCATCTAGTTCATCTTCGACAACGTCCTTGTCAAATGCAACACCAATTGGCAAGCCTTTTGTTAGTTCTAAAGATAATATTGATGCTAATCAAAAAGTGTCTTTAACATCCCAGTCATCGGTTTCTTCAGTTTTTCCTTCTGGTTCCTTATCTTTTCAGGCTTCCAAATCATTGTCCCCCTTGCACACTGCAGCTCCAGTTTCTGAGTCTTATAAAATGGAGCTTCGATCTGGTACTGGAAAAATCTCACCTCCTGTAAATCCAACACATTCACCTTCAGTCTCAGAGTCCCTTAAAACAGAGGTTCAGCTACCTACTAGTGACACATCACTTTCTATTATCCCAGCTCCACCACCTCCAACTTCAGAATCTCCTAAACCAGGGCTTCAATCTCCTGCAGAAAAAACTTCACCTTCAGCAAATCAAACTTCTCCTTTGACTTTGGAGTCTCTTAAAACACAGCTACAACCTTCCAAAGACAAACTTAGCTCAAGAACAGAAGTGGATACTGGTAAAGCAGCTCCACTGGCACAACCTGAACCTCCTGCATTTAGTTTGAAGCTTGACCCTCCAGTGTCATCTGCTCGCACAACTGAAATGGTAACTCAGTTGGAATCAGGAAGTCAATCCAGTTTGAACATGGCAGGTGCTGCATACAGTATACCACAGAATGTTCAGCCTAAACAGCCATCTGATGTGCAGAATCTTTTTGGGGCAGCACTGGCTTCTGATAGTGCCACAAGTGGAAAGAATGCAAATTTGGAAATTACAGTTACTGAAGAGGATGAAATGGAAGAGGAGGCTCCAGAGACTAGCTGCATAAATGAAATTAGTTTGGGGGGCATTGGAGGTTTAGGTCTAGGCTCAAACCCTAGCTCGACTGCTGCCAGAACAAATCCATTTGGTGTTTCATTTGGTAGTAATATAGGAACAACTGGAGCGAGCTCTTCTTTCACTATGACCGTACCTAGTGGAGAACTTTTTCGGCCTGCATCATTCAACTTTTCTAACTTCTCTCCGCAGCCGTCTCAACCATCTCCACCAGCAAATCTTGGTGCATTCTCAGGTGGTTTTGGTGCTACAGCAACTTCTCAAGCTCCTGCACCACGTGGGTTTGGCCAGCCTTCACAGATTGGAGCAGGACAAGCAGCACTTGGTTCAGTCCTTGGTTCTTTTGGGCAGTCAAGACAAATTGGCTCTGGTTTTCCTGGTGGATTTGCTAGTACTAGCTCAATGGGTGGCCTTTCAAGTGCTGCTACAGGTGGTGGCTTTGCTCATGTTGCTCCTACTGGTGGTGGCTTTGCTGGTTTGGCCTCAGGTGGTGGGGGGTTTGCTAATTTGGCCTCTGGTGGAGGGGGTTTTGCTGGTATGGCTTCAACTGGTGGGGGCTTTGGTGGCTTGGGTTCAGCTGGCGGAGGGTTTCCAGCTGCTGCGCCTGGTGGTGGTGGTGGTGGTTTTGCTGGAGCTGCTTCCAGTGGTGGAGGTAACGTTATTTTGACTGCAGTTTCCTCTTTGTTTGGTTTTGTACTTGCTGATTTTATTTATTTATTTATTTTTATCCAAATTTACTCAGGTGGATTTGGGGCTTTCAATAGCCAGCAGCAGGGAGCTGGTGGTTTCTCAGCATTCGGTGGGAATGCTGGAGCAACTGGGAAACCTCCTGAATTATTCACACAAATGAGAAAATAGGCTTTGATAATTTTCTGTTTTGAATCAAAATAATCATCTGATTTAACGTTTTGAAAGTTGGTGTTGCAAGTTAGAGTTAAAGCATGGTTTTGCATAATCACGCCAGGTGATGTCTTAGGAACAGTGTTGCTGTGCTGTCCAACAATTCTAGAAAAGGGTAGGGTAGCTAGATCCCTAATCAAATGACTTGAAACACATCATCCAATCCATTATGCTCCCTCATCTTGCATATAGAACAATTCTTTCTGAGGGTGGTTCGACTATTTAGTTTTAACATTGGATTTTAAATTTAGTTGAATTATTTGTTAATAAGTACTTAAAAAGTAGTTTATTTATAACAATTAAAAAATATTATATTAATTAGAAAGGTAAAGGTCATTAGGTTTATTAAAAGTTGGTATCTACATTTTTTAAAATTATGAGGATAATTATAATCTTTTATTTAATTAAAGAGTAATTTTAAAATGAGTATCTAATTACTCCCTTTGTTTTTTTTTTTTTTTATTTATAGAAAATTTTCATTTAGGGTGTTCTTTTTATATATAGAAATTTATTTAAAATGGAAACTTTGGGAAAGATGCAATTGTTCAATTGTGCACGGTTAGCAAGAGAAAGTGACTGACAAAAAAAAGGTTGGGCGTTTAATACTCGTGTTTCCAAAGTAAAAGTAAATGACTATTTTGTTATAGAATAGTAAACTATTTAAGAGTTAATTAATATGCTCATATTAAAAATATGGTGCTCATATTAAAAAAATATATTTGACACATCCTTTAACCTGTAGAAATATAAGTAGTTTAAACGTACTCTATTTATAAATATGTGCTTATTTTTCATATCTGTCTTTTTTCGAAAACTCCTTTTGAGTCAAATAAGTAATTAAAGTTTAACAGTTGAAAAGTAGTATGTGTATTTTCAAAATATGTGTCCGAATTGATTGGAATGCCATTAAGATCAAATAAAGCTGTTTAATGCAACTACATATTATAGATTTAGTTGAAATTTATACGCAACCATAATGTAGAGGTTGAGAATGACTGTTGTAGTAACCAAAAATTTTGGCTCTAAATTTTTATTAAATTTGGATGCATATTATTTAAATCGCTACATTTTCTGTTTTCTCTAAATAAAGAGGGAGTATAAATAAAAATATATCATACAAACTTTTGAGAGACTATTTCACAAATGATTTTCTACTTAAAAGGCTGTTTAATCAACTTATGAGCCAAATCAAACTCTAAATCTCCCAAATTAAAAGCAAATTGAGGGCTTCCTTCTTTTCTCCCACTTGAAATTGAAAACGCTAGTCTCTAAAGATGATATCTTTCCTACCGAGTCCCAGAAATATAATATATATACTAGGTAAATTTGGAAAACTAGGAATGATCAATTGCGTCTAATAAATGGAAAAAAAAAAAAAATTTCAGAGTTCATCGGATGCAATCAAAGGTATATTCATCCAAGAACTAATGCTCCTGCTTTCTTTCTCAAAGGATAATATTATTGAATGGGATAAGATTAGTTAATTAGTCTGACCAAGGTAAAATTCAGGCGTTCCTGTAATTCTGATTTTGGGCAAGGTAAAATTCCATCTTCCCTCATCTTTAACATGCTCTGCTCTGGCGCAGAACACCAGTGAATGGACTTAAAAGAGAGAGAGAAACAAAATACAAATGCGCAAAAGATGTAGTATCAAGATCACTTTATGCTATCAAACAGGAACCCCTAGTTCAGAAATCTTCATTATCCGTTTGTCCAGCGCAGTCCTGTGCTGCTTCAAACCTGATGCCATAGAAGCAACCTAATCGATGCAAGAGAGAGAGAGAGAGAGAGAGAGAGAGAGAGAGAGAGTGCACCTTCAATAAGCTTAGCAATTGAAAGAACATCTAATATCACCAAAGATACATTTGACTTACCTCAGCTCGAAGTTTCAAAGCCTCCCTACCAGAGATTTCTCGTAGCCCATCCATCAAATCTAACACAAGCAAAACAAGATGCGATCATCAGTGCAATAATTTCTTTCAGAGAACAGGCTGGAGTTTTCACATGTGTAATGCGTTGATAAATTCATAGAGTTTACAAGTGCAGAATACTTTAAGTTTATATTCGGAAGCCCTATCAAGGTCGCCCGTGGCTAATAGTTAACAAGCCACCAAAGAAAACATAGACCTTGCCTATATTCTATTGTGATACTTTCATTGTAAAATCCCAATCCCAAGCACTCCATAACTGGCCATAAACAAAACTTTGTCATTCATAGAACAGGAAATAGCGAAGCTGAAGAATTGTTTAATGCAGAGGCGGCGCCACAGCTTATGTTGACCCCACTGAAATTAAAACATATATAGGTTTAAATTTTTAAAAATTTGGAAAAGTACTTAATAGTTTTTTACACAATTGAACCCACTAAACACCATTGTAAACTTTATTGCATGTGGGTGATTTTAGGATCTTGTCTTAAGTTTTGTTAAATAAAATATCTAATTTGAAAACTTTATAACCTTATCAAATAATTAAAATACTATAAATATATGAAAAGATTCAAAATTATTCATAAATCTTTATTTCATTCCTTTAAATAGTGTATCCTTAATTTTTCAAAATTATTGATAGTTCAAAACTAATTTATGGCATATAATTAGTTATAATTCATTAAATTTTTTCAATTTCTTTGGAACAAAAAAGTGTAAAATATTAATATTAACAATATTACTGATTTGCTAGTATTATTATTGTTATTTATGTAATTTTAATTTTTTAGAGTAGATATATGCTTTTAAATTTCCATTAATAAACTATTATTATTTTTTTCTATGAAGACTAGATCTTATTTCAAGGCAAGTTTAAAGGGAAAAAAAATTTCTTATTCATAATTATAGTTGTAAATTATTGAAATAATGACCCCACTAGAAAATATTTCTAGCCCTGCCACTACTTCAATGCTATGTTTTCTAAGGGAACCTAAAGTGAAAAATATTTGAATTTGATTCTTTTTACTACAAATTTATTAGGTTCATATTCTTTTGTTGGATTGAATCAAGGATGGTGATTAGATTCATGAATGTTAGAGAAGACTGACTTACAAATGAATTTGTAATACCACTAAATAGAACATAAACACTATTATTTGGTTGAAGAATATTTTTGCTTTTTTCAATTACTATTAAATTCCAAATCATTTTTATCATTCAAACTAAAATCTCAAAGTAAAATTCTTGATTTTCAAAATTTCTATTAAAAAGAAACAAGAAGTTGAAATAAAAGGCATATCAATGACAACAAGGTAAATAAGACAACATCTAGCATGTACCTGCAACTTGGTTTTCAACCTTGTAAACTGATTTGGCAAGACGTTGAATTTGACTTCCAGAATCCCTGTAGATATCACTCTTTGAGTAAAAAAAAAAAAAAAATTGATAGGTAACAAATTATAGTAGAATGCTAATGAACATAAAATCACTTTACAAGAGCTCAGTAAGGCCATGTTTCATATCCTTTTCAGCATAAGATGCCCTTTCAAGTAGTTTTCTGCTCTCATTCTTCATTAAATCTACAGAGAGGGTCAACTCTTTTAAATTCTTTTCAGCTTTAAGAAATTTTGCCTGAAAATATAAGAATAGATGACCACATATTAGAGATAAAAGCCTCAGGCTTAATAATAATTTGTCACATAAAAACTTGGATTAGAGGATTTAGAATTTCTACATTAGAGAAATTGACTTGGCAGTTCATGTGCATATAAACAACATAACTCACAAATGCACAGGACTGTAAGCTCAGTAGAAAGGACATTGAATAGATCACTTACCTCCTCACTCTGAAGTCGACCAAATGTTTGACGAAACAAAAGCCTCCTCGGGCCTGTAACCAGATCCTTATATCAGACTATGAGTTCCAGTAAACATAAAATGTACAGGTAAAATTAATATCCTTTTCAGCAATTAGATAGATATAATTTCATTTTAGTAGTAAGAAAAGAAGGAAAGAAAAACGCAAGGACATTGACTCAAATATTTTGCTAAATAAACATATGCATGGGATATCCAATTGAAGAATCAGGACTCAACAAGTGTCCTCAAATATTTGGGGGAGGTTATAGTGCAAATAAGAAATATCATATATTATTATATTATGGTTCCTAAATTATCCAATCAAGCCTACGGGTAACAAAACAAATGCAGGTTACTTATGATGACGGTGCACAGCTTATTTGTGGTTTGTATTTGTCAAAAAGACCAGTCTTAAACAAGCCTCCTAATTTGCCTCCTGCCAGCAATTTTCCCTTACAGGCCCAAGTTCCCATTTAGTGCAATGCTAATGCAACTATGCCTTAGTCACCTAACCAAACCTTTTTATATGGATCACCACTTTGATTACATATTAACAATGCAACATTAAATTGCACAAATTATAAAATCAGCAAGATCAGGAACAAATAACTCTGATGTAAAAATAATGCCTACAAATTTGGCTAGGAGCTAAAGAGCTTGTATCTGGATCCTCTCCGAAGAAATCCAAGTTTTATCCTAACATAAAAGTGAGTTTATCCATACCTCTCATAAGAAGAAGACCAGCAGTTACAGCAACACCAACAGTCTCAACTGGATGTTCCCTTGCACTCATCAACTCCTCTGAACATGAAATTTACCAAGATAGTCATGTATTTGGTTGAAGTCATTAGTTTCAATCCCTTAAAAAATGTTTTATTTCACTAACGAAACCTATTAGTTATCCCAAGCTGAAGAATGTATTAATTCCTGATGGGTGATTTCCCACAGTTTGAATAAACCACCAACAACTCTGTTCATAGGGTTGCTACACTTAGTGTGATGGAAGCAGAATTCTTTTTGTGGTTGACAACCTAATCCACTCCAATTAACTTGCCAAAAATTTAAAAAACAAATTTGAATAAGAAACCAAGAAAACAAATTTAAATGCACACAGATATATAGAATTTATCACCTTTAATTTTGTTAACAAAAGCATCTTCATAAGTTTTGAACTGGGAAACAGCTCGTGGCAGATGATCCTGTTAAGTTTTAGAACATATAGAATAATCAACTATTTATTTCTATTCATAAAATACAATATCATCAGAAAGGGTAACAACCAGAAGCTGAAATTGAAATAAATTGATATGAGATAATCAATCACCCAATCTGTTTTTAGATAAAAAAAAAAAAAAAAAAAAAAAAAAAAAAAAAAAAAGGGAACAGCTTGTGGCAGATCGATCGCTGTTAAGTTTTAGAACATATAAGAATAATCACCTATTTATTTCCTATTCATTAAAATACATAATCATCAGAAAGGGTAAACAACCAGAAAGCTGAAATTGAAAATAAATTGATATGAGAATAATGCAATCACCCAATCTGTTTTTAGATAAAAAAAAAAAAAAAAAAAAAAACAAAAAAAAAAAAAAAAAAAAAAAAAAAAAAAAAAAAAAAAAAAAAAAGAAGAGAATTACCTGTAAGGAGCGAAGATGGAAAGATGAATTTTGTTGAAAAGAACAAGCAGACCGAATAGCAGAGTCTTTGGATTGAATGACAGTACGTTGCAGATCTTCTACCCAATTTTCGCTTCCCTTTCCTTCTGCCATTTTCAATGTTTCCGCTAGCTGCTTCTTTTTCTTCTTTACCAATTCCTTCGAATAAACATGTGCTCTCTGCTCCTACTCCGTCGTCGGCTAGAGATTACCCTTTTTACTTCTATTCTATTATTATTTTTACTTTTTTCTGAAAAGTAATTTTTTTTTTTTTGTTTTTTTATTGAAAGTAAAATTTGATAAGTTAATATCTATTTTTTTTAATTAGTGATAAGAAATTTGAAATATTATATTTCAGTAGTTTTAGCTTAGCTATTTTTTATCGTTACAATAAAGTGGAAAAAGAATAATAATTAAGGAAAAACAAGACAAAATCCTCTAATTTCGTCTAAACTATTTTTTTTTAATTCAAACTAATTTTTAGACCAATTAACATAAAATTGATACTATTAAATATTAATTCAAATAAAGGTGTTTCTGCCCATTCATGGTAAAAAAAATAAATGGAAGAATTAGTAATTTAAAAAAAATACGGCAATAAAATAATTTATTTTTAAAATGATAAAATAACTTAGTTAATTTTTACAAGATAAAGGATAAAATTAGTAAGTTTTCTTGTATATAAACACGAACCATAGAAAGAAATAAAGGCAATGACACATTTTTTTACGTAACAATACATTCTTAAAAAAAAACGAAATAGGATGCACCATGAAATATTGGCACGAATTCTTCAATTAAACATCGGTAAAAACTTATCTAGATTGAGCCCATACCCACTAACTGATCAAATTAATGAAATTAAGGATTATTATTAAAACAAGAGTGTTTCTAATTATACACTTAAGAAAAAAAAAAGAATATTTTTTAAAAAATCCTTAATTTTATCATTTTAGTCCATAAATAAGATTACGGCATATTCTGGGAAAGTACTTTCCATTAAAAATAGAAAAAATTACTATTACAATCTTTATATACATCGTAATATAACTACTCTATCCCTTTTTTTCTAGAAATATTTTTTAAAGTCTACAACTTTTGAAATAGTTAATTAATAAGTTCTTCCATTCAATTTTATGCTCTTTTATCGTTGGTACAATTAGAAAATCATTGGTAGAAGGAGAGAGATTAAAATTTTATTACTTAAGTATCATTAAGAATTATCTCCATCGCAACCTTAGCTAGTCTATCCTCTCTCTAATCTCTTGCCCTTCTCTCTCTCAAAATCCTAAGCCAAATCAGTACTGCACATCCTCAGTTTTGTTTCCCAGAAGAGGGATCTTATGAGAGCTACACTCCATGTTAGAATTTCCTTTATCTTCTTCAGCCATCTTTTCTTCCGGGGCTTTTTCCCACTGTATAAAATCCAGGGCCAACAATGATACCTTCAACTACACTGTAGTGATGAAATCCAACCAAATAAAATGTTATTGCCTTCACAAGCTTCGAAAGAAAAAACAAAATTGAAGTAAATGAAAATAGATTCTATGGGATTATAGAATCTGAATCAACTAATACTGTTCTCTTCCATAAATGTGATTATGCGATAAGTTATAATTTTCTTCATTTATCCCGCAAAGAACACTATAATTTCGTATTCTTTTCCTTTTCTTAAAAAAAAAAGGAAAAGAAAAAGAAATTGTGTCGAGAGGCCATGGAAAGTCACAATAGGTGGTTTAGACATGACAGTGTAGAGAGGCCCTTTCAAGCGAAACGCCCACGCATGAACTAGATTGCAAAGTGATACTGAATATAGTACAACAATAAGTCACTGAAAAAATCTAACAAAGAACCTGCATGAAAAGGGGACAGAACTGTTGAATGTTGACTTAGTAGCTATGGTGAAGGCCGTTGGAAGATTAGATAATTATTTGTTATTCTGTTGCTATTTTTAAGGAATAATTTAATATGCTTATCATATCAGATATGCATAATAAGTTTGCTTATTTTTCTGAAGTTTTCTGTTTTTAGAGTCTATAAATTTTTGCTTATTTTCTGAAGTTTTCTGTTTTTAGAGTCAATAAATACTTCTGTAATAGTGTTTCATATAAATAAAAAGCCTTCACTGTTTTATAATTTTGTTGTTAAGATCCTTTGAATTACTCTTTAGTTTCTGAGTTAGTTTCTGAGACACATATCTAACATTGTGGTATCAGAGCCAATATCTTATAGGACCTGTGAAATTGAGTGAACCAAAATCAAACCCAAACACCAACCCGTGAGATGGAGGGAGAGTCTAGTTATGGTTCAATTACTCCTCCAATATTTGATGGAGTTAAATACAAAGTTTGGGCTATTAGGATGGAAACTCATCTCAAAGCTTATGATCTGTGGGAGGCTGTGGAAGAAGATTATGAAGTTCCACCACTTGGAGATAACCCAACAATGATTCAGATCAAAAGTCACAAAGAGAAGGTGACAAGAAAAGCTAAAGCCATGAATTGTTTGTTTTTTCTGCTGTTTCACCCTCGATTCTTAGCAGAATTATGCAAAAGAAATCTGCCGCAGAAATTTGGAAATATCTTGAAAACGAGTATAAAGGAAATGAAAAGTTAGATAATGTTCATGAATTATTTCGTGATTTTGAACACAAAGGATGAAGAATTCAGAAACTGCAAAAAAGAGTATGCCGATAGACTTCCGATATGCAATAAGGTTGAGGACTTTTTGGCAAAGAGACTTTTTGGCAAAGAATTTTCTGATGAACGAATTATTCAAAAAATTCTAGTCACATTACCTGAAAAATATGAAGCAACGATCTCATCTTTGGAAAATTCTAAAGATCTGTCAAGTATTACCTTGGCAGAACTCTTAAATCCTTTACAGGCTCTAGAGCAAAGAAAGCTTATGAGGAATGAAGTTTCTGTAGAAGGTGCTTATCAAGCAAGTTCACGAATTAAAGAAGGGAAACTGACACAGAGGACAAGAAATGCCAAAAATTATCCACCATGTCCGCATTGTAAGAAAACAAATCATCCTCAACAATAGACTTCTTTGAAAAAGGTGTTGGTGGAGACCAGATATTAAATGCCATAAATGTGGTCAGTTGGGACACATCGAAAAAGTATGCAAAGGACAGCAGCAAGAAGAGGTTGAGGCTAAGGCTGTTGTTGATGAAAACCAGGGGGAGCACTTATTTATGGCGTCATATGTTACTACAGACAACTCTGAAGGATGGCTTATAGACAGCGGTTGCACGAACCACATGACCTATGATCGGGAATTATTTAAAGAGCTTGACACAACTGTCATCACCAAAGTCAGAATTGGAAATGGTGAACGTATTGCTACAAGAGGCAAAGGAATTGTGTCCATAGATAGCCTATCAGGTCAGAAACTTATTTCTAAAGTTTTATTTGTTCCTGATATTGATCGGAACTTGTTAAGTGTTGGGCAGCTGCTAGAAAAAAATTATGAAGTGCTCTTTAAAAAAAAAGGTTGTATAATCATCGATCCTGAAGGAAAAGAGGTGTTTAGAATCAAGATGAAAGGCAAAAGTTTTGTTCTTGACATATTGGAACAAGAACAAACTTTTGTTGCACAAAGAGACAGCAACACCATGCTTTGGCATAAACGATTAGGGCACTTTCATCATAATGTAGTGCTATTTATAAAGAAAAATCAAATGGTGAAAGGCTTACCAGACCTGGAGAAAGATTTGCCGATGTGTGCAGCCTGTCAATATGGAAAGCAGACCAGATTGCCTTTTCCGAAAAGAACAGAATGGAGAGCAACTCATAAGCTAGAACTTGTACATACAGATGTTGGAGGCCCACTGAAAGTATCATCCTTGAATGGTAGTAAGTATTATATTATATTCATTGATGATTATACAAGATTCTGTTGGATATATTTTCTTAAATCCAAAACTGAGGTTGCTGGTATTTTTTGGGAGTTCAAAACATGGGTTGAAAATCAAAGTGGATGTGAGTTACATGTCATACGATTTGATAATGGCACGGAATACACTTCTGATAAATTCAACAGATTTTGTAAAGACACAGGAATTGAACACCAATTGATGGCACCATACACTCCACAGCAGAATGGAGTAAGTGAAAGAAAGAATAGAGTGGTAATGGAGATGACAAGATGTCTGCTACATGAAATGGATTTGCCGAAGAAATTCTGGGTAGAGGCTGCAAGTGCTGCAGTTTTTTTACTGAATAGGCTTTCTACTAAAGCTTTGAAGAATAAAACTCCTTTCGAGGCTTGGTTTGGTCATCAACCATTTCTGTTAAACTTAAAAATATTTGGATGCCTGTGTTTTTCTTATGTGCCTCAGGTGAAAAGGGATAAGCTTGATAGAAAGGCTGAAGCAGGAATCTTTGTAGGCTATAGCAACACGTCAAAAGCTTACAGAGTTTATCTACCTCAAGTGGATAAAGTCATAACCAGCAGAGATGCTGGAAGATGAAAAATGGAGTTGGAATGATGCTAAAAATAACAAAATTCCAAAAACAGTTGAAGAAAATGGTGATGCCTTAGAATTTTTTGATGATGCCTTTGATGATGAACCAATAAGGGGCACAAGATCACTTGAAGACATTTATCACAGATGCAATGTGGCTATCATGGAGCCAGAAAAATTTGCAGATGCTGTTTTAGATCGGATGATAAAATGGACGATAACCAAATTAAGGATAGGAAAGCTGAAAGAAAAATGAGCACGCGTAGAGAGTCGTAGTGTGTTTGAGTGAGGTCGGGCCCTAACCTATGGCAACAGTTCGTTATATATTTAAGTGGGCAAAAGCTTTACAGGATATATTATCTACTCTAGCTGGCAAAGTGAGAGAATATAAAAAGCCCTGTTACATAGACCAGGACATCCGAAAGGTTATTAAGTGTGTATAACCTAGGTATTCTCTGGAGTAAGAGATGGGAAAATGGATTTAAATTAGTTGGTATCCCAAAAATGAGTTGTGTCTAATGACAAAACAAAATATTCACTATAAGAGTAACTCCCAGAAAAGGAGAGCGAGATTTCTTAAAGAAAATGTGGATGCCTAGAATTTTTTTGGATGATGCCTTGATGATGAGAGACATATACCTTCATGCTTGGATAAACTAAGTCCGAGAGGTGGCACAAGATCGACTTGAAAGACATTGATTACACAATGAGAATGCTGCTAAGGAAGAAAATGGTGATGCCTTAGAATT